TTGTTTTAAATGGGCATTTTCAGGTACGCAGTTTAATTTTCTTGGTAGCGCTATATGCGTTCCAGTTTTTTATTTCAAAATGTGTCTCAACGAGTAAAGATGGCTGCAAATATTAATAAAAAACGAAGTGAAATATGGCCATTTTTTAACGGATAAATGAACCTTTTCCCTTTTTTCCCTACACTAATTTTTCGACTGAAATCCCGAAGGGTAGGGAATTATCCCTACATGTACCAACACTGAATTGTCATCATTTATTAGAACTACTACACATTTGTATGTTACTAAAAGAACTAGCGATCACAATAGCCATAAAAATCACTGTGATTTAAAAATCGCAATCACTATTTTCACTGATACTGAAAAATCGCTATTTCGCCCATCACTAATTACATTTCAAACATAATAAATTTTTATAGAATTTTTAAAATATTTTCAGATTTTGAATATTTTCAAACAGGTGGCAATCCTCTTCAAACGCTTCAAAAATATTCTAAAGATTTCTTAACGCTCTTTAGTTTAACACACATATATAAATTCCACTTCAATTACGTGGCAACCCTCTTGAAAATATTTTTATACTAAAACGTAGGACTCTATCGTCTGACACCCATGTATAATTTCATTACCCAATGTGCTTTAGTTCACCTTCAACCTGATATTTAATTTGAATTTAACATTTAAAACAGGTGGCAACCGCTCTTAAAACCCACAAAAATAGTCTGGATGCTCAAAGCTCTCAACTCACTTTTGCTTGATACCCATGTTTTAATATTTCACATACCTAAGTAACTACTGCATATTTTAATTACTTTCAATTTTTAGATTAGGTGGCAACCCTTCTTTAAATATTTCCAAACTAAAACCTCCTTAAACCTCTCCCGCCCGACGCCCATACTGTGATAAATATTTCACCTATATAATTTCCATAATTGAAATTAAATTTATTATTTTAAGCAGGTGGCAACCCCCTTGTATGTAATAAAAAAATACAACCTCTTCAAATCGATTTAGATTGATACCCATATTGTACTAATTAATTTATTTTTTTAAATATTTGGAATTAAATTGTTTAAAGGTGGCAACTCTTTTCGAAAAAGTAAAACCTTATAGCACTTCTACAGACCGAGCCCTTTCATTTGACACCCCATTTTTCAAATCGAATGAACGGTGCAGATTTGGTGACCTGGACAAAAAATCCCTTCACGTATTATATATGTATATATGTACATATGTACATATATAGATAATTAAATAAGTACATACATACTTATTTTCATGCTTATACAATAAATGAAAAATTGTGGGTTATTCATTATTACTTGAATCATGAATGAAAATTTATTCGTTATTTGAAATTACTTGAATGAAGAATAAAAACGTATTCTTTATTTGAACTTATTAGAATAATGAATAAAAATTTATTCATCATTCGAAAGTGCTTGAATGATGAATAAAAATTTCTTCGTTATTTGAAATTAGTTGAATGATGAATAAAAATTTATTCATCAATCGCAAGTGCTTGAATGAAGAATAAAAATTTATTCGTTACTTGAAATTACTTGAATGATGAATAAAAATTTATTCATCATTCGCAAGTGCTTGAATGAAAAATAAAAATTGATTCGTCATTCAAAATTGTTAGAATGATTAATAAAAATTTATTTTTTTATTTGAATAATAATTCATTCAAAAACGCCCATCCCTGATTCCAGCTATTTACAACATATAGAAAATTAAAAAAAAAGTCGTGTAAATTTCGAACCTTTTACTCTGAATCTTTAGAACAATTAATGATGGAATTTTATTTGATTATAAACAACAATGTGCAACTAAAAATACCCGTTGATTTTTTTTTTTAATTTTTTTGCCGCCAGTCTTTTGTGGTTTTTATCATTTAACTATTGCCATTGATAAAAAATGGCGTTGATTAATTTTTTTTTGCGAACAACCATAGCACGTAATTGCATAATACTATAATAATAATCATTTAAAATATTTATGCAATTAAAAGCTCCTCGGGATTCCACTAAAATGACTTTTTAATGGAGCACGATATGTTCGCCTTATATCGATATACATTTATACGTATGAATATAAAAAGCATTCGAAAATTAATGCAATAAAGTACACTACATTTTGGAAAGAAATTTATAATATAAAGATAACTACGAAAAATAAAGCGAGAACGAAAAGTTCAACAAAAATCTACCAAAATGAGAAAAAATTTACCTTTTTACCAACCCAAATTTTTTCTACCAATTTTGGTAACAATTTACCAAAGTGGCAACCCTGGTTGCAGTGTTGTTGGAGGGACTTTTCGGCATAAGAGTCATAGGAACAGCACTTGGCATCAAACGTGCCTTTCCTGTACCTCCCGGTGTATTTGTGAAATCTGCTCCTTTAAAATGTTTAACACACAGCAAGGCATTTCGCTGCACCTCTGCCCCACAGCTGCTTTCGCAACGCTCCTTACGCGAAGGACTTTGAGGCATGTTAAAAAAATTAGTGATATCTGCTTTATAGAGTTGTCAAACTATCGATGGCACTATCGATAGTTTCAATTTTTTTAGACTATCAATACTCATTGATAGTTTTTTCTTATACTATCAAAAATATCGATAGTTTAGTAGGACCAATTATTTTGAATTAAAATCTTTGTTTTTTAGCGTGATGCCGACGTCATATTCAAATATGCGCGCATTTAGGCCAAAATACATACATATGTTAATCGTAAATCCTGTTTTGTTTGTATAACTTGTGTTTGTTTTTGAACTTTCTAAAAAGAGAAGTATTTTGGCTAAGGATTTACTTAATTTTGAATGATTATAACTTTTATAAGATAATATTAATAATACATATAAGCAAGTCACCCATTCAAGCAATAAAGAAGAGTGTGTTAGTGAAAAGGTGTGAGAGTATTGAAAATTGAAAGGGGAATGTGTAACGGCCCGGTAACGAACATTCAAAAAAAAAACAACGATAGTAACGAGCGTAACGAAATATAGGAAATAAAAGAAAAACAAGTTGAAGTTTAAAGGTTTGGTTCTCATGAGAGCAACGTCATTTTGCCTTTTACCTGTATTTATGCATGATTCAATAATTAAAGGTTTGCTCATTAGTGACATTCGAGTTTTGACACTCCCTTAACTCCCTTACAAAAGGTTGCACACACACACGCACCCACCCACTAAGGGAGCCGATTTTGTCAGGAGAGAGCGAGAAAACTGTTTTCTGAGCAAACCTTTTATTATTGTGCCTTGGCTTGGGTGAACTCGAAACGACGTCAAATCGAATTAATTTTTTCCACACAAAATTTGTACTCTTTTACACTAAACTTTAATGATTCTTTTAATTCAGATTGAAAAGTTTGAAATTTTTGGGAATGTTCGCCGATTGGGTTTTGTTTTTAAATATTCCACACAATTTGAAATTGGATTTGTATGGTTTTTGATAAGATTTTGAGTATCGTTTTGCGGTTCGCCAGCGAGTGGTTTTTGCGGCCCGCCGGCGAACTGTGCTTTTCATCGGACGGCGAGTTCGCCGGCAAGTCGTTGGCGAACGTCACCGGCGAACAAATTGCCGTTTGGCAAATTGGGTTTAAATACACGGAACTGCACTAATACATTCACAAAAACCATCGTTTTTTAACCATTTCTTTATTAAATCCTTTCATAAATCATATATTTTTAGAATTAAACACAATTAAGCTACATTTTAGTATTAAGAAATCGACACTTCTGACAGTTTCTTTTATCCCCGTATTCGGCTTTGTTTACTTTTACTTGAAAATGGCCCATCTTGTATTCTATCGCTTCTGATGTGTGTATAGGTTATTTATTTGTATACATATAAAAAGAAAATATCAAAGCATAGCCCACATAACTTAAAATAACGTAAAAGGCACGTTTATTACCTTTGGAGTTCAATAAAAATACTAAAAAGCCAATTTAGAGTTTATTTCAGAGTTGTATTCATTAAGTACTTATTCACAATTCACTCCGCAAACTTCTAGGTCTTAATGCAAACTACTTTCAGCGAGAATAAAGACACGCCACTTTGCCGTTTCTGATGCGACTGAAGAAGCAACCCAACAAACATTTAGCAACCCAACAAATCTCTAACGTTGTTTCTCAACAGTACCGCAGGTGGAGGATCATAGCGTTCTCAACAAAAAGGGCATTTTTCTTTTTATGAAAAAAGGACTGTTTCTCAAGTTGAGAAAATGCTAGTTCTCAACTTAAACTCCAATGTAATTCTCCAATTGGTCTCAAACATATCATTGAAATACTGAAATTGAAATAGTAAAATACCTTATACCTTTTTGATTGAAATGACATACATAGATGAATTTAAATATTAATTTTTCATTTTATTACTCCTTTTGTATTATGTACAGTATACAGTCCGACAGTAATTTTGCCACTTGATTCACTTCGCCTTTTATTTTCTTTCAAGATAATTCGAGGATACTTTGAAGATTATTTACTTTTTGTTGGTAATTTTCCTCTTTATATAGCTTTCGTTTTTCATTTGATAAATAAACATTCGTTTCTCTATTACTTTTTACGTATCTGCGTGTCGGTTAGAGATGAGTTGGATATCAACTTAAGAACTATGAATTTCTCCAAAGTTAGAGAAATATTTTTTTGGTGTTTATTGGGAAACGAAATACGAGAACACAACAGCGTAAAGGCATAACCATAAAATAATTGGTACAAAAATATCAAAACAGAGGTGGAGGTTGAAGAGCTGCTGAAGTAAACAGCCTTTGTCTCGGCGGTAATGAATTGGTGTCCTGTAAATAGCCATTCAACATCGAAAAATACATTTTTTTAGCAACTAACTATCCCTGAATGCAAACAGCAAAACAATTTGCAGGATTATTGTTCGCGAACATCATGAAATATCCACACAGGTATAAGTACGTGTATACATATGTACACAAATGCATATGTGCATACATATATGTACATATAAATATGTGCAAATATACTCACTCAACAACCGAAAACCTCAGCATTGATAATAAAATTGCTACACACATAAAACAAAGCACAATCGATGTTGAGGCGAATACAACAGAAAGTTCGAAATGCTGGAGCATAAAGCAATAAACTCTGTTTTAAACGTTCTCTGCAATAAAGGAATGCGAATGGTGTCCAAAAGAGACAAACGAATTGAAATTTATGTTCAACTAACTGGTGGCTAATGCCAGGAGTGTTACTACGCAATGTTGCTTCGGCTCGACTGTTGAAGGATACATATGCAACTGTTGAGCGGCTCCATGTATGCTACTACAAAAAATAAAATTACAGTGTCACACAGTGTGCATTTTGAACACTTTATGCGAATTAATCGTTGCACTTTCGATGAAAGAAACATTTTGATATGAAACAAAATGGTTTTGTTAGCTAATGTAATTCCTTTTCATGAAAAAATATTGCCTTTGAGTCATACTTACTTCTTGACTGATTTTCGAAGCGATTAACTCCTGAATCGGCTTTCAGGAGTCCGGACACTGTTCGCTACATTTGAACATGGTCTCTTAAAAATTTTGACACAAGTGTAACGTCATAGCTGATTTTGTTTATTGCCTGTGAAATATACAGATACATATACATACATGTCGTAATACAAAATTATTCTCTGTGTACTTATGTTCTTTGATGGCTGCGCATGCCTGTGTGAATTCGTCTTGTTGGGGTGTTGTTTCGTATGTGCTGGTCGTATGTGCTCTAGTTCTATATCCATTACCTTCAAATTATATTGTGTTACCGCTCTCATGTTAGTGAGAGACTATACTACATAAACTAGCTAATAGGCTGTTTTTGCTTACGCGTAAAAGCACATTTAGCGCATTAAGCTCTAAATGCTACTCTAAATGTACATTTATCCATACAAAATTCGTCACCTAAATGCAACTAAATGCAACGCCATTTTTGCATTAAGGATCTAAATGCTAAAAGCAACCCTGTGATCTTCCAAAATTTCCACGATTCGAACATGGTTTAAAGGGAAAAAGTGGCAACATTGCTTTTTCGAGTATACAGTTGCTAGCTGCGTTTCAGTGATCGCCGATCGAGATTTCTTTTATTTTGCATTACATATTTGGATAAAGAAAGTTAAGCAAATTCAACATCGATTTGATGCTGATAGAAATCTGGATCAATTTGTGATCAACTCTGTTTGGTTTGTTTCCTAATTAAGTGAGGAAATTTTAATTGACAGCACCGACAAATGAATATATACACAAACAAATGTTCGGTTATGGTTAAAACAATTCAAGTTTTTGTATTGAATTTTTGGTTTGAAATTTATTTTTTCCTTTTCAGTAGGGTTTTTGCACATTATCTTCTGCGTGAGAATTGATCGTAATATATACGCATCTAAATAAGAGACTGGAACACGGCTGTTTCTCAAAAGCATACGATTTCGAACTCGGGTAAATGTACATTTGCTAAATGCTATAGCATGAACGCTCTTCGAAAACATATGTTCGAAAGTGCTAAATGTTGCATTTTAAATGCAGCAAAAACGCTGCATAACAAGATGTGAAGAGCGAGACGTAAGTGAGCTGTGGCTGAACGTAGTCCTGAGTGTTGTTGAGTGTGAGCGAAAGGGGAATGTTCACCTAAGAAATATGTCTGTATGCGATTTCGACGACGAAAAGATGCTCGACTAGAAAAAAGGGCAGTCGGAGATTGATTGCACAGTATAATTGATTGTGAAAGATATAGCATTCACTTGGGAATTCGTTGTCTGTGCCAAGTTCAGTTTTGAAGCACAAAATACAAGATGGACTACAGCGAAAATTGTGGAAACTCGTCATACACAAAACATATGGGTGTTTCCATACAGCCGTACGCGAAATTCGTACGCTTATAGAGTAACGTAAATCTATCAAAAATAGAAGTTACAGAAAAAAAAAGATTACGGTTATGTTGCAACCAAAGGGTACTATGTATGAGAAAAAAATAAGCAGCCTCGAAACTTTGGTGTGGAAAATATCCGTTCAAAACCAGGTGATAACGTACGCGACAAAAAAAGAAGTGGTTTTAAGGCACATATACATATATGCGAAAGTCTGCGAATCATGAGAGTTTTTCTTTTCTTTAAAAATTCCTAAACTAAGCTAAGTAATGTACCTTTACAATCCTTCCATTTTTTTATNATCTTTTTCCCATTTTTATAGTTAGTTGTTATTGCAATTTGATTTTAAGATGTAATTGTAATGTTTCAAATCTCTTAATTTAGTTAATAGGAAAGAGAAAATAGTTCATTTCATTAGAGAAAACTGTTTTAAAATTCCAATAAGCTGAAATACTTCTACAATTCGTCTTAAAAACCCTTTTCAGTTGTTTCAGTGTATTTGTGTATTTTGAAATAAGGTCTTTCGATTGGTGTTATCTGTTTTTAGATATCTCCTTTAGCTTCCGAGATATTGACTACAATTTTTTCGATAATTTAGTAAAAAATTAGTTAGTGATGCAGTCATATTAAACTAATCAATATCTTCAAAATGGCGTTCTCCATTTTGGATATCTCCTTTAGTTTCCNTCACATACTAAATTAAATTTTTGTCAGTTCTTCTCTCCACCGTTTCGCGTTTTCAAAACCTTTTTCCGTCATCTGAATACGAAATTTAAAGTTATAAAGCCGTTTGAATTCATTTGCTTGCATTTTCGGTTTACATTTTCATGGAAACACGCATATATGCGAAAGTCTGCGAATCATGGGAGTTTTTCTTTTCTTTAAAAATTCCTAAACTAAGCTAAATAATGTACCTTTACAATCCTTTTATATTTTAAGAGAAATTATCTCTGGCTAGTTTTATATAAAAAAAAAAACAATAACGTACGCGACAATTTTTCTCGTAAGTAATAAAATGTATTTATTGAGAACTCTTCTCGCCACCGTTTCATTGTTTTACAACTATTCTAAATAATTTAAATGGAAAATTTGCAATTAACATTGGTTTTGATGTATTTGATTGAAATTTTCGTACTTACAATAACGTATGCGACAAACTTTAAAGGGTAATAAAATATATTTTTACTTCGGTTGGAAAGAAATTTTTACTGGATATCTTTAACTAGAAGAATTCTCGTTTAATAATTGTAATCTGCATTACCTGCGACTGCCAATATACAAATGACATAGACGAACAATGTTTTTGCATAACGTACGCGACATTAGAATACTATCAGAAGCAAATCAAAAAATTACCGTTATTCGAGCTCTAACTTATCTTTTTCCCATTTTTATAGTTAGTTGTTATTGCAATTTGATTTTAAGATGTAATTGTAATGTTTCAAATCTCTTAATTTAGTTAATAGGAAAGAGAAAATAGTTCATTTCATTAGAGAAAACTGTTTTAAAATTCCAATAAGCTGAAATACTTCTACAATTCGTCTTAAAAACCCTTTTCAGTTGTTTCAGTGTATTTGTGTATTTTGAAATAAGGTCTTTCGATTGGTGTTATCTGTTTTTAGATATCTCCTTTAGCTTCCGAGATATTGACTACAATTTTTTCGATAATTTAGTAAAAAATTAGTTAGTGATGCAGTCATATTAAACTAATCAATATCTTCAAAATGGCGTTCTCCATTTTGGATATCTCCTTTAGTTTCCGAGATATTGAGTATAAAGTGTCTTTAATTTAGTAGACATTTTGATCACATTTTGTCGTATTTCATACAATGTGGCTGCCAAATTGTGGACAAATGACGTTTACGACAAAATTTACTAAAGAAAATCCTTCATAAACTCAAAACTAATTAAAAATGAACATTAAAAATTAAATAATTTAAGAATTTTGTGAACTAGTAACATTTTCAGAGGCTTTGGAGAAATTCTATCCTCGCGTTTTTGAGAAATTGCATTCCAAACTTCAATCGCGATTTCCCACAACCTGCCGAAATTAACATAACTAGTATATTTATGCGCTGCTGCTCCGCTTCAAGAACCGGCATATGGTTTGCTGTTGCTCCGGTGCAGAACCGCTATACGGTTTGCTGGTGCTCCGCCGCAAGATGTCGCCGATAATCCAAGTTCCGAACCCAGAGAAAAGCCGCAAGATGTCGCTGGTGACAAATCTGAGTCCGAAACGGGAACCGATCACAGGGTGTTCCGCTGATGGAAATCCAAGAAATCTGATACAAGGTGGTTTATATGTCGAAAATTGGTAAGGTGTATTGGTATACATTAAAGGTCTGCAAATATACCAGCAGAAATACTCTTCACATGTGTACATAGTAAATGGAACATAAATTTTAGAGTACTAAAAAAGATAGGAAGAAAAAAAGAGAACATCATAAATTTGAATAACTGAGCAATGTTACTCAACAGTGCTCTGCTACATAAAACACTGTTCCGCTTTTCCAAAACACTTGAGTATGTTGATTGAATTCAGCAGTATTTGAAAACTTCATAGGAAGTATACGAATACTTATGAAGTTTTTTCTTTCAAAATGTTATCATTTAACATAATGTTAAGAAAATTCATAAATTTTATTTTCATTGTCGAATTTGATTCGTTGAAGAAAGGGGGCTTATTTTATTGTTTCGCGNCGCCGCAAGATGTCGCCGATAATCCAAGTTCCGAACCCAGAGAAAAGCCGCAAGATGTCGCTGGTGACAAATCTGAGTCCGAAACGGGAACCGATCACAGGGTGTTCCGCTGATGGAAATCCAAGAAATCT